GACCTCTAGATCTTGTTACCTACCTCAGCTGCAGCCACATTCCCCTATTCCTGACCACTGATCAAACTGAAAGGCCTATCATAAAGCCAGATGACTTGTACTTTGTAAAAAATATTCAGGTAATTTTTTCCTTCTCTAATGTGTCAAAGCATCTGAAGCTCTGGCACCAGTTCAGTGGCTCTGGGCTGCAAACAGTCACTGATAGACGTGTTTATTCTGCAGTACACTGGCCTCTAGAAGGTCCTACATGCAGCTGCTGTAACACATCACCTTTTTTGCCATCCTTAATTTGTTTGAACTAAATACTTTATGTATATATTTACCTAGCCACAAGTTTCTGCACAATTTTATTTTTAGGAATAGAACAGCCCTCAAACAATTAACAGATAGACGGAAGAAGTGTATCATCTCCTCCTGTTCCTTTTTCTACACTTATCTTCCTTGTTTAATTTTTGTAAGGATTTGGTGTCACCAAGTACTTAAGAATTATAGAACTCAGTGACTCAATTATCCTCAGGAGTGATTTCACTGCCAGAACTCTGCCTGATGGATCATCTATCCACTAGTTAACCCAGCCTCATTTCCTGCATCTGACCTCACTAATGATGCTGTCTAGGGTCCTAGCTGTATGTCTGTTTTATAAAATGAGTTGTCGAAAGGCAGGTCTTCTGCTCATTTTTCACACCTCAAGGTTTACTCATTCCACCTCAGTGACTTCTCATGTTTAAGTTGACTCACATTATTATTCACCAACTTCTTCTTGTCATGGTTCCATCACTTCCTTCAGAAATTTCTAAGCCTTAGAGTTTGGCCAATCCAACCTTGTTGTTCTTTCTTGATGATATCCCCTAACAATATTTCCTTCTCCACTATCCATGCTTTTGTGTTCTTTCCAATTGGCCTACTCAATCCTTTTTAACAATAACATTTCTAGTTTTTGGATGTGTGCTTTACTAAAGTTCACATTTTAGCCTCACATAGCAACACTCAAACTCAATTATTCTTTCAAGTCACTACTCATTCCAATGGTAAGCAATTCTTTATGTTTGGAGAGTTCATTATTTCCCTTTGCTATTCTAGCCCTGAATTTTTTAAAATGGCATTAACCATTTTCTAATAAGATACTTGCAATTGCAAAACTATTTAGCTGTTGCCAATTTATCTTTACCTCTGCATTCGCACTATTATTTTTTCTAATATTATTAACTTTTGTCTCTTTCAATTAAATCTTATTCTGTAAACTTTCATTACTTCATTCATTCTTTAATTAGTATTTGTACATTTATGTACTAGTTATGAAAGTCTGGTCACTACTTTCAGCAACTGACCTCTTATTTTGAAACCTGCCTGTTCTTCACCTGATTCTTCTTTTACAGTATCGTCCGCAGAAATGTTAAACAGCTTTGTATCACCCCATGCCCAAGCATTGAAGGGGTGTTGAAGAGAATTTATTTTCATTCAGAGAATGGGAAGTTCTGAAGCTAATGCACTGAGAACGTTGGCAGAGTCAGAAAACCTAACCACACTTAACAAATGCTTGAATATGTGCACTGCAAGACACATAACTTGCAAGACTACAGAACAAAAGCAAGAAAGTGGGATTAGCACATTTTGACCTGTCCTGATTAGCCAAACAGCCTCTTTCTGTACCATAATTGTCAATGATTTTTTTTAAGAATTCATTCACAGAATGAAGGCATCACTGGCTAGGATCTTAGAGCCTTGACAGGGTAAAATACAGAGAGGTTGTTTCCCCTTCTGGAAGAGTCTGGGACCACAGGGCACAATCTTTGAGTAAGAGGTCAATTATTTAAGACAAAGACAAGTAGGAATTTCTTCTTTCAAAGGGTATTAAATCTGTGGAATTCTTTACTGCAAAGCACTGTTAAGGCTGGGTCGTTCAGAATATTTAAAACTGAGTTAGACAGATTTTTAATTAGGAAATGAATCAAGGATTATAGGGGAAAAGGCAGGAAAGTAGAGTGGAGAATTATCAGATTAGTGATAATCTCATTGAATGGTGAAGCAGAGTCAAAGGGTTCAATGGCCTACATGTGCTCATACATCTTATGGAGTTGAGGAATGGGGTTGCTGCTGTTAGTCCACCAGCTGTTGCTCCTCTTATTCTTAATCAGCGTTCCATGGGAGAACTGCATAAGTAGCTCCTATGCTGCTGGGATGACTAACAGCTTGGAAGTGCAGACCAAAGACAAAAATCTCCACTGCATTCCTGTGAGCAAAACCCTGTCAACCTGGACAAGGGGGCAACTGCCATATCTCAATATTTAAAGTCTTTGTTGCCTGTCACTTGCTCAATCCCTATTGTCCTCTTATTTTGTTTTACCTGGCAAATTCCAGGAAACCCATGTATTGAAGGTCAAAGGCAAAATCCTGGGAAAAACTGGTTAATTATAATTTAACATTTAAATATTAGATCCTGCTATAAGAAGGGCATTTCCCACACAATGGAGAACAGATTTAGGTTGACGGCGGAGTTAATGAGTTCCTGCTAGCATTCCAACACATTGTTCATAAGCCTTGAAATTGTAAAAACAAAGCAGCAGAGTTTAGCTGATTTGATGCCTTCAGATGGAAGTGCCATAGGCTGCAACTGCTGAAGAAGAGATCCAATACTTGGAAATTCATAAGATACCAGCTGAAGTAATGGTGTATCATCATGGAATCGAGAATCATACAGCACAGAAGAAGCCCTACAGCCCATCGAGTCTGTACTGGCTAAAATACACTATTACCTTCACTAGTCCCACTTTCTTATACTAGGCCCATAGTCATGAATGTTATGACACTTCAAGAGTTCATCAAAGTACTTTTTAAAGGTTGTGAGGTTTTCCACCTCAACTGCCCTCCCAGTCAGCACATTTCAGACCCTCACCAGCCTCTGGGTGAGAAAGTTTCTTTCTCAAATCACCTCCAAACCTCCTGCCTTTCGCTTTTAAATTATGCCCCCTTGTTACTGACCCTTTGACTAACATGAGAACACGTGCTTTCTATTCACTCTGCTCGTGCCCCTCATAATCTGATATACCTCTATCAGGTCCCTCCTCAATCTTCTCTTCTCCAAAAACAACCTAAGTTTATCCAGCCTCTCTTCAAAGCTGAAATGCTCCATCACAGGCAATATCCTGGTGAATTTCCTTTGCACACCTCCAGCATAATCACATCCTTCCCACAGTGTGGTGACCAGAACTGTACACAGTACTTAATGTGTGACTGAATTAAAATTCTGTCCAGCTCCAACATGACTTCTCTGCTCTTATAATCCAAGCCACAACTGATAAAGGCAAGTGTCCCATATGCCTTCTTAACTAACCTATTACCTTAACCAGCCACCTTCAGGAATCTGTAGTGAAGCACCCCAAGATTCCACTTTTCCTCTGAGCTTCCTAGTGTCCTGCTGTTCATTTAGTACTCTGGATCCCATGAGCTTTTACCTTCTTTATCAGTTTCCCACGTGCTGAAATCCATATTATCAACATTAAATGCTCTCCCCTCATCAAAACATTTGATCACCTCTTTGAAAAATTCCACCAGATTTTTTAGGTAACATGTCCCTCTGACAAAAACATGCTGGCTATTTCTGATCAAACCTTGCCTCTCTAACTGACAAATAAATTTTCTTCTTCACTATTTTCTCCAGTAATTTTCCTAACACTGAGATCAGATTCACTGATCTATAGTTCCCTGGTTTATTTATACTGCCTTCTTGTAAAGTGGAATCACATTTGCTGTCCTCTGACAACTCCCCTGTGGCCAGATTTGATTTAAAAATTTGGGTCAGGACGCTTAGGATTTCCTCCTTCATCTCCCAAAGCAGCTTGGGATACAAGTCATCCATACATGGGAATTTACCAATTTTAATTCCACCAAATATCTCCTCATTCCTTATATCAATCTGCTCAAGAACTTCACAGTCCACCTTGAGTTCTGTACTTGCATCCTTCTTCTCCTGAGCAAAAACAGATGTGAAATACGTATTTAACACTCTACCAATCTCTTCCAGCTTCATGTACAGATTGCTCTCTGGGTTCCTAACAGGCCCTACTTTCTCCATCATCGTAAGGACCTGAATCATTACTATGATGTCAGTACACAAGATTCCTTAGAAAATATACTGTGGTTAGCATGTAGATACCAAATGTGCAATTCTGCAACTTAAGAACCTTCCCTCTAGGTTTCATCAATGCTGGACAGCCTCAGCTGACAGATGTGGGAAACTGATAAAGAAGACAGTGAACAAGATTCAACTGCAACAGGATGTGCAGGGTATTGAATGAAAGACTTATACTTTTACGTCAAACACTTCTTTTCCATTCATAACTATTTATAAAAGCCAAGACTTGAGATCGACATATTATGCTTAGAATAGAGAGTGATTTGAAGCAATAGTCAAGAATAGATTTTCATTTTTGGTAGTGGTTTTCTTAAATATGAACCATGTTTGATTCAAGTCAAATCGTGCAGGCAAGATTCAAAAGGAAGATTGTGTGCTTTTATTTTTATACATGCACATTATTATTTTCCAATCAACAATTCTTAACGTTTACATGGTCTAAAATTTGAATGCTATTACTACATTTGGGGTGCCTTTGCTAACACCTGCTTTATTCAGCCCAGAAGTATAATTAAAGACTTTTGCATCAAGCTTCCATTAACTTTCACCCCCCCTCCCCTTTGCTATGCTTTTTAAATTTAATCAACGCTGCTACAGACTGCGCTTCTCCAAATTTTCTTCCCTAAATCATCCTGATCTGTATTTATGCTGTCATTTTATCCTACTGCATAATCTGCCTAGACCCTTCAACTTGGTTTAAATAACCAGAAATAAATATTAATTGTCAGATTTTTAAATTTTACAATATTTACACTGATAATATTGAATCACTTATTTTTGATCGATTTGGTATGAATTAACTGTTGAGAAAAAAAACACTGCAATAAACAAGCATGTTGGTTACCATTAAACAAATATGTTCACCCACCAGTTTTCCTCTTTGCTGCGCTGATCTTGTTTCCCTTAGAGTATACACATCTCCACAAACAGAAATTTCCCGCCATATCCCAGGCTTGGATTCTTCTGTAAAGCCTCCCCTAGGATGCATCACTAATACTCCATTAGTTGTTAACCCATCCATGTGGCCATCAGGATTTTTCCATTTAGCAGCTTTTTCCTATAAAAGGTAACAATATGGATGTAAAAACTACAAGTTATATTTTAACAAAAAAGTTACATTTACCCGTTATAATAAAACATTAGATGACAAAATGATTTTTGCTTAATTAAAAATGTATAGAACAATAAAACCCAAAGAAAGATGGTTGTGGTTGCTGAAGGCTAATTATCTCAGTCCAAAAGCATTCATAGATCATATCACTGAATCCCTACAGTGTGGAAACAGGCCCTTTGGCCCAACAAGTCCACACTGACCCTCAGAGCGTCCCACCCAGACCCATCCCCCTATAACCCACCCAATCTACACATCCCTGAACACTACGGGCAATCCACCTAGCCTGCACTTCTTTAGACTGTGGGAGGAAACCGGAGCACCTGGAGGAAACCCACACAGACACGGGGAGAATGTGCAAACTCCACACACACAGTCACCCGAGGCTGGAATTGAACCTGGGTCCATGGTACTGTGAGGCAGCAGCGCTAAACACTGAGCCACCATGCCGCATTGTTGCGAGAGTTCCTCAGGACAGTGTACTAGGCACTTAGATGCTTCATCCTCCCATCATAAAGTCAGGCACAGAATCTTTGCTGAAGATTACTCGGTGTTCAGTGCTTTTTGTGATTCGTCAGACATTGAGGAACCCCATCCCCACATGCAGCAAAACTGGGACAACATTCAGGTTTGGGCTAGCATGTGGCAATAAACATTTGTACCACATAAATGACAGAATATGACCAACTTCAGCAAGGGAGAATAGTAACCATAATATCTCTGATCTAGTGGAGGTGGACAGCTAGAATTAACAGGTGGAGCAAACATTAGATGTTGTCAATACAAAAATGGGAATGATCCAGAAACATAGTGTTAGCATTAGAAGATGCATTGTTACCATTGGTACTGACTTGATTTCATCAATAACTGAAATATGATGAGATACACTATTTGCTGAACTCTTTCTCGATGCTTGTAGTAGCTCATGTCTTGTGTCCTCACTAACACATGATCTCCTACAAATCACAACTGATGAGGGACCAACCTGAGCACTCCTCAGAGGGAAAAGGGCCTTCTGAGAATGAGTTATCAAATGATTCACACACACCATCCACAAATACAGATAACACTGGCACCTCAGTGGAGAATGCAGCAGAGATGTCACAGTTGTCACATGGTGAGAAGCACATCACACGTGGGCAGGAACAGGTGCTGGAAACAAGGTCAGCGCTGGAGAGTGTCCACTGAAAGTTCAGGACACTCTAAGCTCCATTCAGCTAAATGCAGACACTAAGCTATGGGAGTCATCCACAAAAAAGTAATGGAACTGCAACAGGCAACGTTTGTGGTTCTGGTAGCACTTTCAGAGGCAGTACACATCAATTGGAGAGGGAATGGAGGTAATTGCGTTTAGCACGACTGTGCTGATGTTCACTGACATGAAGAATCAAGCAACCTAGCAAACAATGCAGAAGAATGTCTAGCACAGATAGAACAAAGACTCATCTTAGTTGTTCAAGGCTTTCTGATATGCTAAGATCGTTGGTTAGCAGGACAATGTAGGTGGAAAGAGGATAGGGAAAGTCTACAATTCAGTTAGGACTCCTCAAGATGCTCTCACTTCACATTGCTTGCATTGTACAAGGGTGAGTGAGGTATTGTTTGTTGGGAAACTTACATTTTCCAAAACATAGAGGTCTTCTGCACAAAGCATCTCCTCAGTACAGCGGACCATGTAGTTCTCAAGATACTTCAAGGGAAGACCACTGAAAACTACTGAAGACCACTCTCCAGATCTTTTGAAGTACCTGAAGTGTATCTTCAGCAACCCAGCTGTTTATTCTAATACTGCCCTTGTGGTCACATTGGTCTTGTTGGGACCCTCTTCTGGTTCACATGTAAGGTTCCCTACAGGAATGATTAACCAGCCCGCTGCCTGTTTAGTGTCATTGTGGCAAATTGCACATAAGTGGAGACCTTAGAAAAGAAGACTGGGAAGTGAACTTATGAGGACCTGATGGAAAGACCATCAAAATATCACTAAAAGAACCCAGAAGCGTTTGTGCTGATCTTGACAAACTTGAATGGCATCACAAATCTTGTACCTTGGGTCTTCCATCAGACACAGTTCATTTCGACCATCAACCAAGCACCATCACGTCCCTGCCTCCCAATATAAATCGATCAAGAGGGAGGTGGTACTGTATTGGTAGCGTCACTGATCTCATGGTAATTCAGGCATGTAGCCTCTGGGGACACAGGTACAAATTACACCACAGCAGCCGGTAACGTTTAAATTTGCTTAATGAATATAGGAATCTGGAATATAAAACTAGTCTCAATAATGGTGTCATGAAACTATCATCGATCATTGCAAAAAACAATATCTCTAATTGCAACCTTAACCTTACATGTGACTCCAGATCGACAGCAATGTAATTGATTCTTAGATTGCCCCTCTGAAATGACCTAGCAAGTCACAAAGTTCAAGGGCAATTAGGAATAAACAACAAATGACGGTCCACCCGGCGACACCTATGTATCATAAAAGAAAGTCACCTGAAGATTTTGTCCAGAGTGAAAGAAGGATGCAATGGAGGGTATTCCTCCTCTCCACTTAACCAGATGGGCTACGTTGAGGAGTGAAAAGCTGCAGGAAATATGACTGGCATAGAAGGAACAAATCAAGACAGCTTCCTCAATATCACCTTCCAGTGATCGCAAACTAACTCGACACTGAAGGAGTGTAATTGCCAATCGCATCATTCAGCACGTGATTTATGAAAACTTCTGGTTGCCATCTGCTTGCAACAAATGACGTTCTCCACATGGGGACAGCAAGCCTCTACAAAAAAGCTAAAAACCCTCGGTGTTTGATCAGCTCCACTGTGGCAAAGTCCACATATGTGGATGCTTCGGAAAACAAGGCACCGGTGATCTGAGAGGTACACTTACGGAGACTGGATCGAGAGATCCGTGAGATGTCACCAAACCATCCCCGAACTGTTTGTTCTGACCTCGGCAGTGACTGCTGATGCATGCCCATCTGGCCCTCTTGGAAAGATAGTTATTTTTTAGGGAACTGTAGATATCAGCAAAGAGTCACAACAAAAGCCTTTTCTGAAGGGTCTAGGCCCGAAACATCAGCCTTCCTGCTCCTCTGATGCTGCTTGGCCTGCTGTGTTCATCCAGCTCTACACCTTATTATCTTACAACAAAAGCCTGACTCTTTTGAGGTACTGCTACTGTGTCATGTTGAGATAGCTCATCCTCTGTCTGTGGAGCCTGTGTTGCAGATATCGCCTTCTTTGAGCTGCAGTTTACTGTTGATTCTTTTTGTCATGTGGAGTGACAATTTACTGCTGAGCAGGGAGCCTGTGCTGGTGCTGGTGCTGCTGTTGCTATTGGTATACTGTCTGGTGCTGTTCCTCAAGAGAATTCCAAGTTGTAGTACTCATATGCTGCAGTGGAGACTGACAGCAAGAAAACTGAAGCAAGGGTGATCAATCACACCCTACTGTCAGCTCAGGCAATCCACACACTTTAAAGTTAACTGCATATTTGCATAACACAGGATTTCATTGCTTACCTGCAAGCTTACCTAGGTCAAAGCTGGAAATAAATGGAATTATGTTAGGTTTGTGACACAACACCATTTTTGAAGTTTAACCCTTGACCTTAATATGCTTCTCCTACCAGCTTCTTTTAAACGTAACAGCAAGTCAAAAGCACTAACAAATAGTATAAAACTATGAGGGCTTTAGGTAGAGTGTATAGGACAGCCTCTTCCCCTTGGTTGAGCGTTTAATATCTGGGGATGGGGCACAGGCAGTAAGACGCTGTTTAGGTGGGACCAGCAGGGATATTTTCTTCACCCAAGGTGTGTTGAGGTTCTGAAAAACATTGCCTTAAAGTGAAGTACAAGCAGAAATCTTCAAAGCATTTAAAGAACATTTAGACATAGACTTGAGGTACAATTACCTACAAGGCACTGGACCTCAAATAGAAAAGTGGGATTAGGCTGCATGACTATTTTTCAGCCACAATGGCTGAGTTGGTGCCCTTCTGTGCTATTGATTTCTACAATTCGTGACTGGTTCACGTGAGCACTTCAAAGCTTAAAAACAACCTTTTAGAATATGTTTGAAAGATCTAATAAACCATTTTTTTTTACTTTTACAAATAAAAAAGAGAAATGCAGATATTGTACATGATATTCCTAGAAACTAGCATCTTAATTAATATTTTTCTCAATGGTTAACAGGAAAAATTAACATAATATTAGCACTTAGAATCTAATTTGTACATACTTAAGAAATGTGCTTTTAGATTAACCAAATCATGCACCATACTTACTCCAAGGAATATATTTTTTGATGAATCGAATCCTGCGGCATAAATCCGAGCAGTGTACGGTGCATTTCTGTCACAAACTATCCTACACGCAAATCTAGAGATTGTACTTTGAGTAATTTGCATCTCATCATTACTCTGGCTACCAGAAACAGTGTCCGTCACCACAAAGTCAATAGGGTTCTCTGTGGACCTTCCAATCTGTGAGAAAGGAAAAGTAAATGAAACTTCAACTAATTTTTTCATTGGATTTTATCAAAAGGCAGTTTATGCTTTCTCATTACAATGCAAATACACATTTCTACTTGAAAATTTTTAAAGACTGTTTAACATTAAAATTCAGTTTGTTTTCTAATGGCTTAAGTAAGTGATAAATTTGATTCATATAGTTCAACTTAAGATTTGAATAATTTTTAAATAGAATGGTCAGATCCTTTCCCCATTGAGGTGGAAATTGGGAGTCAAACAATTTTCTGATGTGATGATTCTGTCACCGATATAGTCATGCTTGTTCACTATAATTTTCCATCTCAGAGTTAGGGCAGGCTACTGTCTCCTGAAGCAGGGGGAAGGTGGAGGGATATAGAGATGACTAGGTTTGAAGTTCTGCTCCATTGGCTGGAATAATAGTCCAGATGTAATACTGAGTGAGGCCCCTTTATCTCCACATTCCTCATGACACGCCTCACCTCCATACCTTCTATAAGCCCCATCGTCCTTTCACATCCATTCCACCATAACAGTTCACTAACCCATATCCACTCACCCTGTATCCATCTTTTAGAGAGCTCCTGAATCCTACACAACATTAGGAAGTCTTTGAGATGCCCATGAATGATGCTGTTATGACAAACAAACACTCATTCAAAAATAACTTCAAAAAACATAATCCTTTTAAGTGGTCAGAAAACTGTCAAGATAAATAACAATCCTTGCTAAGTTGAATCTATGTGTGGAGTTTGGAGCTTAGACAAGGATACACAAAGGGATTCCATTACAAATCCTCCAGAGCTGAATATATCCCATGTATCTGCTGCCCTTGTCCTTCCAGAGAGAAGTGGTTGTGGGTTTGAAAGGTGGCGTCTAAGAATCTTTAGCAAATTTCTGCAGTGCATCTTGTATATAGTACACAAGACTGCTACTGAGCTGCAGTGCTGGAGGAAGTGATGCTTGTGGATATGGCAAAGCAGGCTGCTTTGTCTTGGAGGATGTCAAGTTTCTTGAGTGTTGATGGAGTTGCACCCATTCAAGCAAGTGGGGAATATTCCATCACACTCCTGACTTGTGCCTTGTAGATGACAGACAGGCTTTGAGGAATCAGGAGTTGAGCCTCTGATCTGCTCTTGTAACCACTGTATTTATATGGTGAGTCTAGTTGAGTTTCTGGTCAATGATAACTCCCAGGATGTTGATTGTGATGGAGTCAGTGATGGTTACACCATTGAATGTTAAGGGGCAGTGGTTAGATCATTGAAAATGGTCATTTCCTGGCATTTGTGCGATAGGATCGTTACTTCTCCTTGTCAACCCAAGCCTGGATATCGTTCAGATCTAGGTGCATTTGGACATGGACTGCTTCAGAGGAGTCGTGAGTGGTGCTGAACATTGCACAATCATTGGCAAAGATCCCAGTTTCTGATGGAGGAAAGGTCAATGATGAAGCAGATGAAGCAGGACACCACCCTGAGGAACTGCTGTAAGAAATGTCCTGAAGCTGAGATGACGGACCTCAAACAACCACAACTAGCTTCCTCTGTGCTAGGTATGACTTCAACCAGCAAAGCGTTTGCCCGATACCCACTGATTCCAGTGATGCTAGGGCTCCTTGATGCCACACTCGGTTGAATGTGGCCTTAATGTCAAGGGTTATCACTTTTACCTTACCATTTTAATTTAATGCTTTTCTAGATGTTTGCACAAAGCTGTAATGAAGTCAGGAGCTGAGTGAACCCGAACTGGGTTTCCCTGAGCAGGTTATTGCTGAGCAGGTGCTGATTAATAGTACTTTGATGGCATCTTCCATCACTTTACTGATGATTGAGAGTAGACTGATGGGGCAGTAATTGGCTGAGTTTGATCTGTCCTGCATTTATGTAGAGGACATACCTGGGCAATTTTCCATATTGTCAGGTAGATGCCAGTATTGTGACTGTGTTGGAACAGCTTGGCTAGGGGAGTGGTAAGTTCTGGAGCATAAGTCTTCAGTACAATTGCCAGAATGTTATAAGGGCCCATAGTCTTTGCAGTATCCAGTACCTTCAACAGTTACTGGAGCAGAGAATCAAAATTGACTGAAGACTGGCATCTGTGATGCTAGGGACCACTGGAGGAGGATTATGATGAGGATCATCATCCACTTGGCATTTCTGGTTGAAGGTTAATGCAAATGCTTCATACTTATCTCTTCCACTCAGATATTGGGCTCTTCCATCATTGGGGATGGAGATATCTGTACAGCCTCCTCTTCTAATGAGTTGTTTAATTGTCAGCACCATTCATGACTAGACGGTGCAGGACTGCAGAGCTTAGATCTGATCAGTTGGTTGTGGGATCGCTTAGCTCTGTCTATCACTTGCTGCTTATGCTATTTGTTACACAAGCAATCCTGTTTGGTACTTCACTGGGTTTTCCTCATTTGTACGTAAGCCTGGTGCTGCTCCCTGCATGGCCTCTAGCACTTACCACTTAACTAGGGTTGATGGTAACGGTGGAGCGGGAGACATGCCAGGCCCTGAAGTAACAGATTCTGTCACAGTACAATTCTGCTGCTGTTGATTGCCCACAATGCCTCATGGATGCTCAGTTTTGCGTTGCTTGATCTGTTCAAAGTTTGTCCCATGTAGCATCATGCTTTGCCACACACGACAGTTATTCTCAATGTGAAGGCAGGACTTTGTCTCTACAAGAACTGTGCGGTAGTCACTCTTACTGATATTGTCATAAACAAATGCATCTGCAGCGGGCAGATTGGTAAGGAATAATGATGGTGATGTTGGAACTTTGTCTGTAAGATACGATACTGTGAGTATCACTGTGTCAGGCTGCTGCTTGACTAGTCTGTGAGACAGGTCTCCCAATTTTGGCGCCAGCCTCAAGATGTTGGTTAAGGAGGACTTTGCAGGGTCAACAGGGCTGTTTTTTCTGTTGTCATTTCACTGCCTAGGTTGATGCCAGGTTTCATATCTTTGTTCAGACTTCGTCACGATTGACACAACTGAGTGGGCTTGCTAGTCCACTTGAGGGCAGTTAAGAGTCAACCACATTGCTGTGGTTCAAATTTAAAATCTACCAAATCCTACTATGGCAGGATTCAAACTCAGCTCCTTCAAGGACCAACATTAGCTGAATTTCTGGATTAATATTCTAGTGATAATACGACTAGGACATCGCCTCACCCTAGCCATCACTAGTTTAAACCATATGAAAACTGGTACAGGGGTGAATTTCACTCTTTCTCAGGTGGCAAGAATAACGATGAGCGAAATTACTTAATCAAGAGAGAGCAAAAAAAAAATCAAATTCTTGCCATCCATAAAAAATTCTTGCAATTAAGTCTTCACGCCTTATATTGGTGGGTTCAGAATCCTGTCATTGGGTATTGAGAGGGCTATTTGTATCTCATTAAGTGCACAACTCTTCATGTTAGTTTCCTCTCCACAATCAAGACTAAAATCTGAGAGTGGGCAACTGTTGTCTTGTCGGTATTCATCGCAACTTGCAGAATTGCTGTGCCGGCCATCCAGTTTCTATTAACATGGAGCAGATTCATCTGCAGAAGACGTCTCCATGATCAACAGTCACATTCTTCCTGTATTCTTCTTGGCATGAGCAATGCAACAGCCACACTGATCATACTTGTTGTCAGGTCAATTCAGGCACAACTTGAGGATGTCAAGCATGTGCGTTGGAGTGGAGGGAGCTTGCATGTTTGTGGCAGATTGTTTTATGCTTAGGTACCAGGCATCTTCTGTGTCTTAGCTGTGTTTTGATGTAGAGGTCCCATGTTGGACTGCGGTGGACAAGGTCAGAAATCACACGATATCAAGTTATAGTCCAACAGGTTTATTTGAAAACACAAGCTTTTGGAGCCTCAGTCCTTCTTCAGGAACAGTCCTGAAGAAGGGTTATAACTGAAATGTTGACTGCTCCTTTCCTACAGATGCTGCCTGGCTTGCTGTCTTCTTCTAGCCTCCTGTTTGTCCACCTTGGATTCCAGCATCTGCAGTGTTTTTTGTCTCTAATCAAGTCAGTGAATTGGTCTCGTTGTACTAGGGCACTGATGACAGTGATAGCAAGTAAGTGGAAAACCTGATGGTGAATTGCAGGGGACCAGGAGCTCTTGAATAGGAAGGTTCAAGCAGGTGATGGTTTCTCTGGCTTCTACCTGTGACGGCATATGGCCAGCAAGTATTTAAGAACCTCCAGAGTCAGAGGTCTGGGGTAAAATGGGTTCATTGATGTTAATGTTGGACCATGAACAGAAACACAAAACAGAATGCATGGGGAGCAATTCTTCGGTCACAAACAAAGCGTACCAGTCACTCACATGAACACAAAGATGGAAACTCACCAAATTGTTCCAAAAATCAATCTGTGAAATAAATTCAGAAAAGAGCTAGGACAGTATTCAAAATGGGTGGACTAAATAGCTTTTTTTTATTTGGGGGCAGAATTTGGATCATTTTTGAGGCACTGCAAGGGCTAACTGCAGTGAAAAATCCATAGATTATACTCAAGTGGATTCTCACTTCACTGGAGATCAGCACTGGTCAAACAATCCACTTAAATTATATCCTGAAACAAACGTGAGTAGTTCATTGTGGCCACTGATTGCCACCCTGAGATCTAAGCTCATCAAACCTTAATGTCACAAGAAACTTAGAAGGAGACGATAATGATCCCATTGGCCAGGCCAATCTATAACAAGTACTAGAAGACAACGCATAACAGCTGCCATATCCTCACAAAGAATTACAAGTTGGCAAAGACAAGGAGTATGATGTGGAAAGGATTGTGGTGAGCTTATTGGCAGAAGCCTACTCTCAATGGAACATGGACACTTTAGTTGTCCACTGTGCATTTGGTAAGGTCACATACATCGGATCTCCTTACGTGCACGACTATTATCTTCTTGGAAACTGCCATGCAATCTTGCATCAGGACATAAAATTCAGCTTGATTGTTAAGGATGTGAGAGCTCAGGCATACCTTTAATAACAATGTAATCTCTCTGAATTTGCCCACTAAATCTCTTCCACCTCAGCAGACATGGCTGAGTTCAATCAGTCTTCCTTAGGCATTGCTCCTATCGAATGAGATACCAGGAACAAGAGCTTCAGAAAGCCCAGCAACAAAAACGTCCAGTGGCTGCTGCATAGCTTCCAGAGGAACAATCAGCAGGGCAACATCCACCAAGGTAGTGCAAAGGTATAGTCAAACGCTGCATTTATAGTCTTTGCTGCAATTATCTCCAAATTACAGAGTGGCAATGACACAGAAGATTAAGGATGTCCTGATCCATCATCACAAATCTATGCAAGAAGCTGTACAAGGACTTGTGCTCAAAGGCACATACCTGTGACCACTGTGGTAACATGAAATGTCAGTTATTTTTTGCAAACTGCACCAGATATCCTGAGAACTGATCTAACTCCTACTTACTGCAGCATTCACAACAGAGATGTGAACTGTCCAGTGAATTTGTCACTGTCCTCAATGTCAGTGTGTTCCATTGAAGAAGTTCAAAGGCAAAATCTTGCTGCACTAAGATGAATGGACTCATCAATGATTCTGCCCTCTTACCATAAGGTTAAAGCAAGGCCAAGCCCTGTCATCTTGCCTTTACATTGCCTTTCATCTCAGTCTCATCCACATTAACATGCAATGATTTGCCTTCCGAAGTTAAGGTTCAAAGATGCCTGACAGAAGGGGCTAGCCACATTCACCAAACTAACTGTAAGAGATGATAATTGCTCTGTTGTTGTAAAATCTTATATCTTCGGGATGTATGAACAGCTTCCTCAGCTGTCATCTGGTTCTCACTTCACTAACTCTTATTAGTATATTATGAACAGATAATAGTTGTACAAATTGGTGCACATGAATGAATATTTTTGAAAATATGGCTTATTTACAATGATGTAGAACCCAGGCCACCTATGTGCCCTCAGTGTATTGTCTTCTTTCTCTCCATCCCACTATGTCTAAACACAGAGCCAAATTCCAAAGTGGGGTGGAGGGAGCTTGTCATATAGTTCATCCTGTTGACTTCGAAAATGTGGGCAGTCGTCACCGGTGTCTTTCAGCCTAGAAGGCCCAGGCCAGCTGAGATTCTCCTGCCCAGATACAGGCTCACCCTCCTCAACTTGAAATGCTGCAGGCTTTGTGATCACAGGGAGGGAGGAGTCAGAGAGGAAGGTCTCCTCCATAGTATCTTGAAAGAATCTTCTCAGTGCCTTCCTGTGGGTGTCTGCTGGCACCACCCTGTCTCGAGAGGAAGGAGCACCTGGAGTGAGGTCAAGATCCCTTATCCCACCTTGCCATTGATGCTGAACAAACATGGTTGAAGGGATGGGAGTCAGCTCTGAACGCATATCTGGCACCACCAAGCCTTCTGCACGACATGTATTTCCAAGGAAGCTGCCATCATTTCTGTGGAGACTGCCAAGTGCTCAGATACTGCAGCCACCACAGTAATGAGGGTATGGATTGACTCCGACATTTTTTGTTCCATCCTACTGAGTGCCTTTTGCACAACTCCCTGATTTGGCTGTATCTACAGGCTGACTGTCATTTACAGCCAAATGCAGGGGCATGTCTTCTGCACGAGGAAGAGTAGGTGTCGGATCACCTGCAGTGCTCGGAGTGCCATAGATATTTGGCATTTCCTCTTCCACCAGATTTGGAGACATGTCACAAACATGCTCACTAGATTGTATCCCTGAGTCTAATCTAGATAGATTTCCCAGCAAAGCCAAAGCCTCTGTGCTGGTGGAGAGTGCTGGTGCATCCTCTGAGGGTTCATAGACTGCCTCATCAGACAGGGGGCTGTCACAGAGTTTGAGGATGTAGTCTCCTCTTTGTTGAGGTTCCTGGAGTGATGTTATTGCCTGTATAGCAGAAGAGAGGTAATTAGTTGGAGAAGATGGAAAAATGCTCGTGCATAACAGGAATTTCTTAGTGTTGGTGGTAATTGGAGTGGAGAATAGAACAGCAATGTTTACCAGGTCGGTTGCCCTTGTTGTCTCCTCAACACCACAAGTGCTTCTGGTCTTCCCAGCCAGCTCAAGTAATGTCTCCTCAAAGGGAGCAAGGAAACTGATGGGGTTCACCCCAAGATTTCAAAGTAAGATTTATTTCTACAAATATGTCCAATAATTGTTCCAAATGGTAATCTGTTCCACTGCTTCAAACCTAGACAGGTGACTGAGTGAACAATTAATAAAAATATCAAAGGACAGGATACAATTGACACAATAAAATCTGAATCTCAATACTCTTCAATTTGGAAAAACATTTCATCCACAAGATAAATTAATTGAACACATCTGAAGATTTCTCTACATTCATAACATTGGTCAGTTTAATGGACTCATCACCAAGCATTTAAAACATAATTAATTTATCAAACATCATTACATTATGTAAAGTTCACCTTATAAAATTACCTGTCAAAAGGCTGTCAATTCAAGAACAGGCTTCCCACATTATTCATGACACCCCTGAGATGGTATGAATCATGTCTGCTTCAGTAACCAGCCCAACTCCATGAAAATTGCGGGAGATCTGAAATCACCACCCTAGAAATGGAGCCACCAGCTTTGGAATTGCTGCGTGCACCCCTATCCAGTGCCCTTAAAAATACAACATGATGGGAATGGGACAGGAAATCGGGAATCAGGTCCCACCCAGCTTTGCCCTTCTACTTTGACCCCATTCAATCTAAATACAGATTTGTATCCGTTGGGCCAGCAAAATCCTACTCAAAGTTCCTCTTCCACACCACTAATTGAAGTACTATTATTTGGCTACTCAACTATCAATTAGCCCACCAAGTATGCACATTTAGAAATTATATATCAATGTGCTAATCATTTGTCTGATAATATCACTGACAATAATATCTGGAATCACAGCAACTTTAACTAACTTTATTTAATGAAATTTAGATCTTTTGACGTATTAAATAATTAAAATTCAAACATCGATAATCTTTAACATCTGGAAATTCCTCAGCTGTTTAAGTTTTCAATGCTGTTGGTCTCAGAAATACTAATGTAACAAATATATCTTTGAGCACTTTTCAAGGGAAAGACAATATGTTGGAAGTACAGATTTATCCCCTTAAATTGTTTATGTTTGGGACAATAGTTTTTTTTTGAATGCTTTACTTTAGAAGACAGGTGGAGAGACAATTTGACGTATAATGATCTTACAGGGAAATTCTAGGGAAAAGACATACAAAAATTGATGGATCTAGCTCACACAGGAACCATTATCCTAAGTGGAAACATAAACACATAAAAATTAGAAAGACACAGATTTTATTGCACACAATAAGTTATTTTTTGTTCCTTCTGCTTATCATCTCATGAAGATAACGGTATATGCCAGCCAGTTTTATGCAGTTCTTGGCTTAACTCAGCCTAGATAAGTTGTTCAACTGTTGAGGGGCTTCACAATCGATAGACACATCATGCACTTCTCTTGGGAATCATGATAAAATGATTGATAAGGAGCACAAATTCTAGCTACTGGTTTCCCCCTGAAACCCAGGAATATTCATCCTAACTGTAGTATTCCCAAACTGAAGCTCAAGCGAGATTCAATAAATCAACAAACTGAATCATAAACCTTTCTGATTTTAAAGTATTTTGTTACAATCAATACGGTGAATTATCACAATAAAGTAGTATCTTTTAAGAATCCAGATAGTGCATAGACTTTATGTTTTTTAAATCAACCTGTTCAGGCATGTCATGACACACCCCTAGACCAGGTTGAACTTGAACAGAGGCCTCCTGGCTCAAAGGTAGGGACAATACCACTGCACCACACAAGCCCTCTGCATAACTTACTCAAATACAGAGAGTAGTTAGGTCTCACCTGAAACATGTCTGTGTCCTTGTCATGAGTATACTCTACCACCACAGTTTGGTTTCTGGATAACGTATATGAGATGCTATGTTGCCCTTTACAACTGACTGCCTATGAAGCATAAAATAAGAGAAGCACATTAATGCATTTCTTTAGACTTCCAACTGGCTTTCAACAGTACAGTCATTGTAACAACAGTTAGCTACATCCCATGACATTTTGTACACCAACTTACAAAAGATGGAAAATGTCTATAACAATGGTCAATCTTGTCTGTACAGACTAATTGTCATTTTAAGGGATGCATGTGTTGTTGGGTTTATTTAGTGCGGGTGTCTGGTGCACAGGGAGCTTGTGATGCATGTGTTGTTACCAATATCAACAGGGTGGAGGTAATGTGAAAAACAATAAAACTGGAGGATAAGGTGAGGCTGACAAAATAACTTGGCTGGAGAGACAGAATGAACTTGATTCGAAGAATGGTGATAGCAAAAGCTATTTATAGGCTGGAGTATGACATTTCAAGTAAAACAAAATCTTTTTATCTGAATCTTAATCTAGAGTATTGCAAATGAAGTTCAATGTCTTAGTGTACAGGACAGGATAACTTATAGGTCAAATAATGAATATATTATTCACAAACCTTGTACATGATTTATAAGAGATAGTAGGAACTGCCGATGCTGGAGAATCTGAGATAACACTGTGTAGAGCTGAATGAACACAGCAGGCCAAGCAGCAAGTAGCTTTCCTGCTCCTCTGATGCTGCTTGGCCTGCTGTGTTCATACAGCGCTACACCGTGTTATCACATGATTTAAAATATGTTTTGTACTTGTTCTTCATGAAGCAGGTTTACGAAGGTATCAAATCTCTAGTAATTTCAGACTGCAACTAAAAATTGTTTTTAAATGTAGATTGTTTCAAAGATGACAAACTTGGGTACAAATTCTAAACAGTTTAAAGAAGATTCGGAGTACATAGGTTTAAATCAGAAATCAGTGATAATCACATCTATCCCTCCACACTGAAATTACTACATCAGTAACACTTTTCATCATGCCAATGTTCTCTTTCTCTAAAAGTACTTTCAATACCTCACAATGTGACAATATATTCAAGGCTTGACAATCAACGGGTATAGGAAAGAATACCAAGACTAACCAAAATATACTCTCATCCAATGTCCACATTTACACTTCCAACAGAAGTTGCTGGTTGGTAGCAAAGAGAATCCAGGCTAATTCAATTTCCCAGCTCCCTACCAAGTTGTTGGAAAACGGAGGAGGAATGTAAAGCTCCCATTAGTATAATGGCCAACATCAACCTACCTAGCATGGAATCAAAATGAAATTTCAGCCTTTCCTCTTCTGTGCACCTCCACTACACATTAATTAAACTCAAAGGACTATATTTTACCAAAAATTGGCTAGATATCAGTTTTGTTAAGTTTCACGGGAAGTTTATCGCCACAAGGCCAATTAAGATTTTTCAGTTAATCATCCCAAACTTGGATCATTAGCTCTGCTGCGACACCTCAATGGCAAGTTCACGTCCAATGCTAGCTGGATTCTCCTACTCGCATAGGTGGAGATATTCACCACTGCCAGGATAACCTAGAATCCCTGGCACTGGTGCCATCTTTAAAAGATTGTGGTGTCCTCAGTCAAGCACTGGCAGTCCAGAGTTGTCCTGTACATTTGGAGAGATTTGCCCAGGATATAGCAGACAATGGGATATTGGTAGCCAGCCATTTGGCCAGGGACTTGGAGGTCTTGGTGGACAGGGACACACTCAGTATGTCTGGGCCCTCTAGAGACAAATACTGTTAGGGCTGCCTGACAAAACCTCCAAGGTCAACAGGTTCAACTGTAGGACAGACACCTTATACTCCCAGCTGCAGATCTCAGGGCAGCACAGAGACATGGTGGGAAAAAAGGAAAGGGCACATTCTTTTTATATGTCGGGAACTGAAGTGCAAGAGAGTGCAGGAGTTATGCTGCTGTTATACAAAACCCCGGTTACAGCCCACTTGAAGTACTGTGAGCAGATCTGGGCATCACACTTTTGGAAGAATTTATTGGCCTTGGAGGGAATACAATGTAGGTTTACAACAATGATACCTAGATTTCAGGGGTTAAGTCATGAGGAGAGACTATACAAATTAGATCTGTTTTCTCTATAATTTAGAAGGTTAAGTGGTAATCTGATCAAAGTCTTCAAAGATATTAACAGGAAAAGACAGGGTAGATAAAGATACACTATTTCCACTGGTTCGGGTTTCCAGAACTTGCAGGCACAGTCTAAGAATTAGGGCCAGATTGTTCAGAAGAAATGTTAGAAAGCACTTCTACACACAATAGGCGGTAGATGTTTGGACCCCTCTTTCACAAATGGCAGCAGATGCTGGATCAGACTTTAAATTCAAATACAAGATAGATACATTTTTGTTAAAAAAAACGGTATTAAGAGATATGGGCCAAAGGCAGGTAAATGGAGTTAGGGCACAGATTAGCCATGATCTCACTGAATGATGAAACAGGCTTGAGGGCCTGAATGACCTACTTCTATTCGTATGTTCCTAAGGCACATAGTTAGCACAGGTAACATGTCAATGTAAATAAGTTATCACATCTGTAAATATATCAAGTCATAGGGATGTACAGCACAGAAACAGACCCTTCGGTCCAGCTCATCCATGCCGACCAGATATACTAAATAAATACAGCCCCATTTCCAGCATTTGGCCCTTATCCCTCTAAACCCTTCTTATTCATATACCCATCCAGATGCCTTTTAAATGTTGTAATTATACCAGCCTCCACCACCTCCTCTGGCAGGTCATTCTATACACGCACCACCCTCTGCGTGAAAAGTTGCCCCTTAGGTCCCTTTTAAATCATTCCCTTCTCACCTTAAACCTATGCCCTCTAGTTTTAAACTCCCCCACCCCATGGAAAAAGACCTTGTTTATTTATATGTTCACTTTTCCTCATCTGCTGCGCATGCAACTGTGTTTCTCAATGCAATTACAACATTTAAGGGACACACCCAAGTCATTCTTAGGGCTGCGTAATGTTTGATGGTCCAGAATATGAAATCAGCAGTTCCTGCACTATGTGCAGGCTATGGGTAAATTGCAGGTGCCTGTTACTTTCGCAAATGGCGAACTGGGTCAGTCTGTCCAGATAGCCAAACATTGCTATTGCATCTCAAGAATGTGTGATTAATTCATAATATTGCATTGATATGGTCAAGAATACGAGCAACAAGGCTTTGGACTTCATACAGTAAGTTAATCCCCAAGTTTTGCATAGTGTGTATTGGTCACAGGTGCCTTTCATTTGTTACTCTATGGGTGTCCATCTAATGCAAGGCCCTCTTATGCCGAAGCGATAGTGTCCCTAACCCTGGACCAGGAGACCCAGGTTCAAGTTCTACCCGATTCAGAGGTGTGTAATAACATCCGATTAGAAAAATAGCTTATAATAAAAAAAAGTCTGTCTAATGCTGTTCCCCTTTAAGGGCCTCACATTGAAATTTAAACCCCCTCCCTGACAGAAACTACACTTAACCTACCCAATCTGGGAGCAGTCACAGCTATTTGCATCTCTCTTGAACAACTGTTATTTACAACACAATGGAAGGCAACAGCGGTCACTCCCATGGCAGTGAATCTCAGGCTCAGCCTCTTATTCTTGGTGAAAAGTAAACGTTCCCGTCTTGTTATCCTCCCCCATCAATCCCATAGGTTGTTAAATTCCCCAAACTCCACTTTACCCATTTATTTAAATCTTCATCTGTTTACTTTACCCCAGGCTTATCTAGTAAATATACCTCCATCTAGTAGTCCACTGACCCCCATCAAAACCAGGGTGCTGTTGATTGTCAAACGGCCCTGCATTCCCTCATTCCCGTCAAAAAAAAATTAATCAACCTATACAGATATGCTATCACGTATCTCTCAAGCAGGTGGTATTTGAACCCAGGTCTCATCTTCCCCATCTTGCATATTGAGTTTCTCCCCTTCACCACTGTAATCCCCTCCACACCCCAGCATTCTGGCTCCAATCCCCACAACCAAGTTCCCCAGGCTCCCTCCTGTGTTCCAATGATTCCTTGGACCGGTTACACTGGAACCACAGGGCTGACTGTTGTCCTCTCCCCAAACTATAGATGTACAGACCACTGACCCTGACTACCCCAAGCAGCCAACTGACCATATCCAAGCCCTTGAATTGGTGTTAGAGACTGCCCTGGACTTACTATGCCAGCCCTCATGCTTGAAGAATGTCTCCCTGGAATTGACCGAGGACTACTCTCCTTAAATTCTGAGACATGACTGTTTGCTTGAAGCACAAGCAGTGCTTTTAGTGCATACATACCTGGCATGTGGTGCAGGTATGAGATTGTCAGAGCACTGCCATTCAGCAAATGACATTCAGCCCCTTTGACTGATGACTGATGACAACCATGACAAACCCCCTGGCATTTTTGTCTGTGCTAGACAGTAAGGAAAGATAGTAGTACGGTGAGTCTTTAAATTCAGCTCAATGACTGAGGCACATAATGGCAAGGCAAAGCAAAGCAAGAGCGCTGTAAGCATTCAGGTAGACACAAAATGCATAAGCAGTATGACAGCAAGCCAGGTGTCCTTTGATGAAACTTGATACAGTCCATGAGCTGGGTGTCCGTCCAAGCGCATACTGTTTTCTTATAGCAGCGTTCCAATCAGAGGTGCCACTGTGCTCCAAAGTACAGTATTAAAGTGCTGAAGCATACTGCAAGTGAATCAGAGGTATGCCAAAATGATGCAGTGAGACTGGGTCATGTCGGATGCCAAGATCCATGAACGTGGAATACGTATGGCCACTGCTCATGGAGTGTGCCCTGAAATATTGGTGCCAAGTCTCCAAGATCATCATCTGGAGGAACAAGTGGTGACCTGAAGTAATTTCCATGTCAATGACTGTAAGTAGTTAGTTTCTCCACCGGCAGGTGGAGAATGGCAACCTGTACGTTAATGGAGTGAGATTAGGTATTAAAGAGGATGGTGATGAACAATAATCCCTGGTAACAGGCCTCTTTCTGTTCACTAGCAAGAAGCTCATCT